AGGAAGCCCCAGCAGTCTCGCTGGACGGCCACGCTCCCCGAATCGAAGAAGCGAAGTTCGGCAACGAGTCCCGCGGCGGCACTTCTACCTGATTCGTCAGAGACGAGCGATGGCGACGTCTGCGGCCCAGCGCCCCTCGGCTCATGGACGTCGCTTGGGAGCAGACTATCATCATAAGCAAGCTCGGCTTCTTCAACGTCGGAGCCGCGCCCGGGCCCCTCGCGCCCGCGAGCCCGCGCTCTCCGGGGCTACCCCCCCCGCCACCGCGAAAGTCATCGCCGCGATCGCCGCCAGCGCGGCCTACATGCTGCAGGCCCTGCAGAGCCACTGGCCACCTACCTTCGAGAGCAAGCACGTCAACCAGCAGGAGATGGACAAATACATTGGCCGGCACCTCCAGCCCGATATCGCGCCGCTGGACATCGTGATTCCAAACGCTCACGCGCCCCGTCGGGCCGCTTTCCGCGCGCGAGCCTCTGCCCCAGGGCCTGGCGCGCAGCCCCGCGCGGCGCGGGCTGCCACCCCTGGGGCCATGGAGGTGCTAGAGGAGTTCACTTGGCATTGCCATGAGACAATCGAGTTGCCCCGCGGCATCAACTTTCCCGTCTATTTCGTCCACCCCGAAAGGAACCGAGGAAGCAGATGCGCACTCATGCACGCGTGAAGCTGGCAGCCTTCGCCCCATCACTCGCAAGAACGCGGCCTTCCAAATTGTCGCAGTTTTCGCGAACCGCGCCACCCGCAAGCAGGTCGAGCAGTTCGCTCACCCCATTCAGCAGGGGGACATCCGCGGCAGGAGGTCGCGCAACAATATTATTCGCATAGATGGGGAGGCCAGGACGGTTTGACTCCAACCGTCAGCCGCGCGCAACAAGCTGGCCTTCTCTAGTCTCGGGCGGCAGTGGCTATTCTTCGCCCTCCACCGCTTCGGGCCACCGCTCGGGGTTCTGAATGCGTTTGCGGCGCTATACCAGGATCGATCGGCTTCGCCACACTAGATGTCTTTTGATGCCTCATCGATGCAGGGGTTGCGCAGGGCCGCCCACTCTCCGGGGTGATTTTGGCGATCGCCATGGACGTCAGTATGCGAGCAGTCGCAGCAGACGCGTTACCAGACGCCGAGCATGGACGCGCTGGGGGATGCGCCGACGATCTCGCAGTCCTTCTTTTTCGCTTCGCGTTACCCCCTGACCAGGCAGAGGGCTTCAGTTACGCGGATAAGCACGGCCACTTCGAGCTCAACATCAAGGAGTGCGTTTTCATTCCGCTCAGGGCGGGTGCCGATCCTTCGATTCGCAAGTTCGCGAGTATCTTCCTGCGCGCAAAGGCGCCGTCGCGGGCCGGCTTCGCTATTGCCTGGAAGGGCAGGTACCTTAGAGCGCTCGTCGGTCCCGATGCCAAACCCGAAGAGCAGCGGTCTGCAGCAGGCGCAAATCGGCGGAGCCGAGTCGCTGCTATCGGGAACTTCGCATCACCGATCGACGCCAACATCTACTTGGACCAAACCTCAGCGATCACCGTCTTGAGATACCTCGCTCAGTTCTCCGAGGTCCCCAAGAAAATTATCACCAAATAATCCCACGCTTTGCACAAGATCTTGCGCATGCCACCCAGTACATTCAGGAAGCAGGACATCCTGTCCACCAGTGGGTGGATGCCCCGAGGTCACTGGCCGCCCACTCCGCCAGCACTCTGGAGGGCGGCGACGTTCATGATGTCCGGTCGGCCCCCCATGTACCACAATATCAAGGACGCGGCTGCTCAAGAGGGCAACCTGGCCGAGTTTTCGTTTAAGCGAAGAACCCCGACGCCCTGCAAGGGCAAGGCGGCCATTGTCCAACGGTGCTACCAGATCTCGCCAGTCATACTCAACTCCTTCCATGGCGCAGTCGTGATCTTGAGGCTGCTAGCGATGCTGCGCTGGTGACGGCGAAAATTGCAAAGGCAGAAGGTCGCCGCCCCAAGCCGCAGCGCATCTACAGCAATAGTATCGACGATAAGTTGCTCCTCGACTTCTTCGCTGTCACCAGTGCTAAGTGCCTCGAGACACGGCTCCAGATGCGCATTTTGCGGCAGGTATTCCAGAGACGTTGGGAAAGACTACTAGACCTTCTTCGCAAGGCTGCACCAGCCTGGCGGTGGGTTCCAATCAGAACGTTGGCTGGAGGATGGCACACGTCCCACAGGGTGCATGTTCGGCCAGAACGATTGGAATGCCCCAGAGGGAGCCACAGTCAACCCGACGCCATCGCCCATTACTTCCAGTGCCCGCGCCTTTTTCCATAATCTTCCGCGTGTTCATCTCCACCCAGAACTTGTCCATCGGTTGGGGATTGGCGATGGACACGAGCCAGACCCGCACGATAAGTCCCTTTCTGATGACTGTCAAGAGGCTCGTGCTGGCGCTTCATTTGTACTTGGAGACCAGGAACCAAGCCACGCCCATGGACAATAACGTTTCCTCGGTCTAGTGAAGGCCGCCGCCGACCGACTGAACGCCTGAGCCGCCTCGCCTGCGCACCCCGCGCGACATCAGCGGACAGGAAGCCTCAGAGGGCATTGTCGTTCCTCCTCCTCCCTCTCCATCAGATTGTTCCTGGTCTTCGGCCTCGTCCTACACGCCTGCCCCCCCTCATCCTCCTTCGGCTGCTCTTATCGCCCGCCTCATCCCTCTTGTGCATTCAATGCCACCACACCTGCGTGAGTACTCACGGCTGTTCGTAGATTACTTGCAGACAGGCAGATGTTTCAGGAGTAGTCATTTTGACCAGCCCTCCGAAGCTAGACACGAGCCCCATAACGAACGGCCCATGTAGCGCATTTAGTTGGAGATGGAGTCCGTTCTGCGTGTACGCGACTCCAGTCCTGCCCCAGACGAAGCGAGTTGTTTACGCTCGACCCGCTCTGACCAGGTTTCGGTGCGATCTTTGGCTGTTGTAACATTATTCTATGTTCAGGCGTTCCTGCCGGGTTTAGATCCGACCTCGCACTGCCAGTGTGGGGCATGTTCTCTGGGCCAACTAAATATATGAATGGCGGTTCCGTCATTGTCTTGCGGAGTCGCTCACGGGGTGTATATAGATACATGTGTATAGATCGACCATGCATAGCAAGTTGGCCAGCCTCGCCGTGATACAAGCTTTGAGATACATTATCAGCTAGGTTGTTGGACTTTCAAGCGTGGTTTTACCCTTGGGAGGTCCAGATCCAAGGCACGATCCGTCCTGTGACACGGAGGTTGGGAGGATATAGGTGCCGCGCTCAGTTTGCCATTGCTTTGGCGCGAGGCTTGTAGCATATGAGGAAGAAAACCGCGCGCGTCCGAGCTGATTGGCTGAATGGCTACATGATGAGACGGTCATCTAAAGAGCGTTGTTGGCCGCATTGGTTCACAAACGTCGAAAACGATGAGGACAGCGATTACGACGTGGGACCTGCAACCGTTGTAACGCGCTTGTTCGTAGGACCCCGACATCTACTCTAACCAAGTTTGTCTCTGCGTATCCTGGTGAAGATGTCCTACTTAATGTTAGTGTTGTTCTTGAGCTCGCCTCGCCCTCACACTGTTCTAACCCTCCTACGTATGATTACTCAAGTGGGTTACGCCATCCCGCTTACTTCCCCCAGGCGAAGTCAAAAAAAACAAAACTGCACGTCGCCAGTTCCAGGTAGGAATTCCAGCGGTTGCTTTCGATGCGGGTCCGAGGGGTAAGGAGATTTTTTGATTCGGTTGTGGCTTCCGTGGTGCGTGACGTTTGAGCGGGGAGTGGATAGCGCAAAGCGAAATCGACGCGAATAGGTGAGGTGAGGGAGGCGACGGACTCTGACAGTAGGGATCCCGAGTTGCGGAGCAGGGGGATGAGGAAGAATATAATGACGGTCACGAGGGGCACGCTGCAGGGGGAATTTGGCACGCAAATCTCCGAATCAATGAGTGTTGGGCGTTCGGCATTGGCCCGTGTGTGACCGAGCATTTGGGCATGTCGTGTGGCCTTCGTGGAGCCTTGTATGGTGCATTTGAGGCTCTCTTGGGGCCTCTTGGGGCCGCCTTGGCTTCGCTGCGGCGGTCTCGGTGTCGTTTTGGACGGTGTTGAGGCCATGCGGGTGCGTCTTCGGACCGTCTTGGGGCGGTGTGGGGCCGTCTTGAACCAATTGGTGAATTTGCGGAGGTCAGCCAGGAGCCTATGATGCTATTCGGGGCAGTGTTGAGTTCCTAGGCGCGGGTTTCGTTGCAGTAGTACTCGAATCCTCGATCCCAGGGGCAGAACATTTGTCCCAAACTCCCCGCCCAGTGACACCGAAAACATTGCCCAAGTGAATTTGCAGCAACAGGAGAAGTCTCCAAGACAGCCGTGGGAAGCCTTCCAAGACGGTTCCAGAATCCCGAAGAGTACCTTTCAGAAGCCCCCACGGGCCAGTATTAGATTATGTTCAATATGGTTTCGTATGACTATCTATGGCATCTAAAGGCCTTCGGCTCATCCCGCCACTGTGCCTGGGTTGAGGGCCAGAGCTCTCAGGGATGGTTCTTCGGGTCTCTTCGGAGCGCTTTCGGGGGCCTCTTGGGAGCAGTTTGGGGTCCTCTCTGGAGCCACTTGGGGGCCTGCTGGGAGGCCATGAGTGCTACCCATTGGAAATTGTTCGCAAACCTTGTCAGGCGGCATGATGCACGGGTCATTCTCGGGCAGATCCATGATTCGGGCCGGCGAACGGGCGAACGATGATGATGACGTCGACAACGGCGACGTCGACGATGATGATGGTGATGCTAATTGTGATGGCAGTGGCGATGAGGACGAGGGCTTCGACAACGACGATGACGATCACAACGGTGGTGACGACGCGAAGTGCCAGATGAATGGGCACGCTCGCGGGTAAAATCTCTCGACGTCGAAGTGGTTCGCCAATGCCGAGTGCGGGGAGCGCAAGGTTTGAAGCCACTACGGGCCCCAGATGCCGCCGAACTCGCTTCTGTCGCCCCAAACGCCCGAAAGTTGGACAGCCATCGCAATTTCGGCCAGCCGTCTCATACAAGTCATAGTGTAGTGGCGAGTTGTAGCTAATGCTTCCACAGCCACGTTGGCTTGACACTTTGATTCGACCGCGATCCCACACAGTCCTGCCTCCCTTTGGATCCAGCCTGCAACCATGGGCGCTGGCGCCGGCGCCATGCCAGGTGACAACCTTCAGGCGGCTTTGGAGAAGGTCGACGACTCAGACTTAAAGGCTGCCCTTGGTGAGCTGAACGCGGAGGCCAAGGCCAGGCTCCTCGCCGCCCTGGCTGTGAATCAATCGCCCCCGCCTCCACAGGACCCAGACGAGGAGGCGAAGCAGGCCTGCTTGGAAGCCCTGAACATGCAGATGCAGCAAGAGGCTGCCGATATTCAGGCCGTCTGCGGGGCGATTTTGGGAACAAAGCGTACCGCGCTCACCGTGGAGCTTCTCAAAGCGATGAATGACAAGACATCTGGCGGTGTGATCGATCTTTTGAAGGGCAACCCAGTCTTCACCGATCTGGCCAAAAAAGAGTTCGATGGCATCGTCGCCCGTGATAACGAGGATGCCGCGAAATTGGCCGCTGGCGTGCAGCAGGCCATAGAGAAGGGCGTGCTTCCGAAAGACAAGGAACCTCCCACGTACGAGAACGTGGATGTGCTCGGCAAAACTTCAAGCCAGGTGGCCGACGAGATCTTGGCCAAGCTCCCAAAGGAGGGCGGTTGCGTCATGATTCTTTGTGGCCTGAGCGGTACTGGAAAGGGCACCACGGTGGACACGATCAAGGCGAAGGTCCCGAACGCGTCGACGTGGTCGAATGGGAATTGTTTCCGCTCGCTCACGCTGCTTGCGGCGACGCACTGCGAGCAGCAGGGCATGGAGTTCGACCCGGCCGTTCTCACGCCAGAGAATTTGGCGTCTTGGACGGCCATGCTTGAATTCGACAAGTTCGACGGCAAGTTCGACATTCGCATCAATGGCTTGGGCATCAATGAAAAAGTCTCCGACATTGCGAACACCCTCCTGAAGGAGCCCAAGGTTAGCAAGAACATACCTACGGTGGCGAAGGAGACGCAAGGCGAGGTGGTGAAGTTCGCCGGCGACGCCTGCAAGAAGATGGGCGACGACGGCACGCTCGTGCTTGTGGAGGGCAGGGAGCAGACGCTGAACTTCATCGAGTCGCCGTATCGGTTCTGCCTCACGATGTCTGACACTTCGGTGATCGGCGAGCGACGGGCCGCCCAGCGCATCGCCGCACACGCGGCGAAGAATGTCAAGGAAGGCGACGACGTAGCCTCCGCAGTTGTTGCGAGCCTCGCGGAGATCGCGGCGCAGTGACATGCAAGTTCCACCCGGCCTCGTTCCCCGGCGCTCTACCTGGCTCCCCGCCTGCGCATGCCCCCCGTCCTCTGCCTCTTCCTTTCCCTCTGCCTTCCGATGCGCGCTCCTCCCGCTCCACTCTTAGCGATCCTATAGCAGTACGTCTTCAGAGGTGACAGCTGGCAAGCTCCAAACGAGCGTGCGCGAAGCCTGGGGCAGAGACAGACCCCAGATATGAATACCTGTCGTGTGTTTCGGCAAAGCTGCTCCGCCGCTGGATTTGCAGCGACAGCAGGGACGGGCCGATGGTAGCGTCGCTGGCCGCGCCTGTGGAACACCCGCGGATGCGGCAGTCGGTTCTTGAGAGACGCCACAAACAAGAAAGAACTGAGCAAAACCCATGCGAAATCGTATACATGATACAGTGCAGTCCATATGCACGTAGAGCCTGATTGGGACAACCTAAGCCTCGCCAAGACAAGCGAATCCGACCCAGAATATCCATAGAAGCTCAATCGACATGAGGAGTGAGAGCGAAGCGACCCCAATCAGGAAATCGGTGTCGGTTTCGATTCGTGCCGAGGCGAAGCTTCATGTGTCCCCGCCGATGGCAAATGGAAATGTCAACAACCTATCTGGATCTACACTCAGTGAACGATGTCAAGCACATCAACACATGTGGTCAAATTGTGTAGCTGGCGGGAACGCTTTGGTAAATCGCGCACGGGGGCGCCAGCAAGCGCTGGGGGGGATCTGGGAACGCAGGGGGGCTCTTGAGGGGCGCGCGGAGGCGCCTGGGAGTGTTTGGGCGCTTACGGCACCTGGGGATGCTTGGGGTCGCCCAGGGGTGCTTCGTAGGTGCCGGGGGGGAGTTTTCGGGGACCGCTCTGGAGCGCATGAGGGGCGCCTGGAAGCGCCAGGGATCGCCCGAGCGGGCTGCAACGCCATGGGCTATGGGACTGCCCAGGGCGCTTTGGAATTCTTGGGGCGGCCCTGAACACAGGGTGGTCGCGCTCTGAGGTGGCGGGCCAGTTGCGGGGTGCCTCGGGCACCACTTGCGAGTCCTGGCGAGGCTAGGTTGGGCGACAGGGACCGAGTCGCGCAGTAGGGTCGCGCTGGTACTGGGTCAGGTGGAGCCCGCAGGAGGAAGCGCAGCGCCGACGACAATCGTTGGAAAACAAACTTACTCGATGAGCTCACAAAAAGCATAAAGGAAGTCGCACGAAAACAACGAGCAGCACAACAAGTATAACATGTAAGTTATGCGGGAATAACTAGTGGGAGCTGTTTTGTTTCGAGAGTTGGTTTGTTGCTGCAAATGTTGCTCAATTTACTGTCGATGGGATGGGTGTCTGTTGCATCACATGTTGTTAACTTCCTGTCGTAGGCTAAGTTTTTGGGAAAGCCGTCTTTGGGGAACTCCGCAGGATGGCTCAGTAATTTTTGTCTCGCCTCTGTTTGGGGCGGCCGCTTTCAACCGCTTGGCTCCGGATCTACATAATGAAACGGGACTTGTTCTCCTGGGGCCAGAGTTGCCCCTCTGACGACAGTGGTACAGTACCCCTTCGCTTTCGATCTGCGGCTGCCTCCATTGGGATTGGCATTGTCCCCCTTGGGTTTCATTGTTTGCGTCGAGGGAGTCAGCCCATCCCCGTCGTCGGGTAGTCTGGGCGCGGCGAGGAGACCGCGCTTGCAACGAACTCTGCGTCGCGGAATCTGTCAGTCACGCGATCGATGCACGACGAAATCGAAGCGTCGCGGAATCGGTGCTCAACAGAATCGACACGCCATGAAATTCGGACGAGGACGGCGAACAAGAATGATCAGAGTTTGGGGAGTGAGATCGACGTAAAACGGAATCCCCCAACCGTCCAATCGGTTTCGGTTTCGGTTCGTGTCGTGCGTGACGCACGTGCGGACGAGGCGAAGCTAAACGAGGGCGAGGTTGATCTTGGCTTTGTTAGGGCAGGTTAGCATCAATTTTTCCCAACCATCCTGTGGTGTTAGGTCCTCGTTTTGAAGAGACGGTCCCCGCGTCCTCCTCTCCTCTCCTCCTCTCCTCTCCTCCTCCCCCTCCTCCTCCCTCCTCCACCTCTTCCCTGCGTTTCACCCACCCAGTACACCGCTTCGTGGCCCCATAAGGAGCTCCGCCGAAGGCCCCAGTGCTGCCGCCCGCATGCGCCCCGCACACCCAATTCGGCACACCCCTCACACGTTTCGTGGCCCCATAGGGAGCTCCACCGAAGGCCCCAGTGCTGCCGCCCGCATGCGTCCCGCACACCCATTTCGGCACACCCATCACACGCTTCGTGGCCCCATAGGGAGCTCCACCGAAGGCCCCAGTGGCCCCGCTCACATGCGTGCCCGCCGCCCATTTCGGCACACCCCTCACAGGTTGCGTGGCCCCATAGGGAGCTGCACCGAAGGCCCCAGTGCTGCCGCCCGCATGCGTCCCGCACACCCATTCGGCACACCCCTCACACGTTTCGTGGCCCCATAGGGAGCTCCGCCGAAGGCCCCAGTGCTGCCGCCCGCATGCGTCCCGCACACCCAATTCGGCACACCCCTCACACGTTTCGTGGCCCCATAGGGAGCTCCACCGAAGGCCCCAGTGCTGCCGCCCGCATGCGTCCCGCACACCCACTTCGGCACACCCCTCGCACCATAGCGAGCTCCACCGAAGGCCCCAGTGGCCCCGCTCACATGCGTGCCCGCCGCCCATTTCGGCACACCCCTCACAGGTTGCGTGGCCCCATAGGGAGCTGCACCGAAGGCCCCAGTGCTGCCGCCCGCATGCGTCCCGCACACCCACTTCGGCACACCCCTCACACGTTTCGTGGCCCCATAGGGAGCTCCACCGAAGGCCCCAGTGCTGCCGCCCGCATGCGTCCCGCACACCCATTCGGCACACCCCTCACACGTTTCGTGGCCCCATAGGGAGCTCCACCGAAGGCCCCAGTGCTGCCGCCCGCATGCGTCCCGCACACCCAATTCGGCACACCCCTCACACGTTTCGTGGCCCCATAGGGAGCTCCACCGAAGGCCCCAGTGCTGCCGCCCGCATGCGTCCCGCACGCCCAATTCGGCACACCCCTCACACCGTGGGAGCTCCACCGAAGGCCCCAGTGCGCCCGCATGCGTCTCCCACGCCCAAGTCGGCACACCCCTCACACGCTTCGTGGCCCCATAGGGAGCTCCACCGAAGGCCCCAATGGCGGCGCTCACATGCGCATGCGTCCCGCACACCCACTTCGGCACACCCCTCACACGTTTCGTGGCCCCATATCCATTGGAGGCCCCAGTGGCGGCGCTCACATGCGCCACCCACACCCACCCAATTCGGCACACCCCTCACACGTTTCGTGGCCTCATAGGGAGCTCCACCGAAGGCCCCAGTGGCCCCGCTCACATGCGTGCCCGCCGCCCATTTCGGCACACCCCTCACAGGTTGCGTGGCCCCATAGGGAGCTCCACCGAAGGCCCCAGTGGCACCGCCCGCATGCGTCCCGCACACCCACTTCGGCACACCCCTCACACGTTTCGTGGCCCCATAGGGAGCTGCACCGAAGGCCCCAGTGGCGGCGCTCACATGCGTTCCCGCCACACATCCCAGTACACCCCTCACACGCTTCGTGGCCCCATAGGGAGCTCCACCGAAGGCCCCAGTAGCGGCACTTACATGCGTCTCCGCCACCCATCCCGGCACCCCCCCCGCGTGTTTCGTGGCCCCATAGGGAGCTCCACTGGAGGCCCCAGTGGCGGCCCTCACATGCGTTTCTGCCACCCATGTCGGCACGCCCCGCACGTGTTTCATGGCCCCATAGGGAGCTTCACCGAAAGCCCCAGTGGCACCCATCTCGGCACACCCCTCACACGTTCCGTGGTCCTATGGGGAGCTCCACTGAAGATGAAACCCACAGCTGCGGTACTGACAACTACATATGGTTGGGTTCTTCGCCAGGCTAATTTCCTCTCATCGGCCGCTGGGCGGTGAGGCCCGGGTTCATCCCGCGGCTAGTTTGGCCTAGGGAAGCATCTCTCTTCTCCACATCCTAACAATCACGAGATAGCAGGCATCGCACCTGAGCCTCTCAGGGGGGAGCCACAAGGGAGCAGATCGCGGGCTCGTAGTGGTGGGAGCTCTCAGGTAGAACGCCAGCGTTGGGGAAGTCCACCCATCCCTATTCAGAGCCTCATGATCACCGCGTGCTAGCAGGCATCGCACCCGGGCCTCCAAAGGGGGAGCCGCCACGGAGTATATCACGGGCTCGTTCGCGCCCAGGTTGGTGGAATTTTTCAGGTAAAACGCCTGCCTTGGGGAAGCAGGCGTGTTTCTTTTACAGCCTCACCGCGAGGTAGCAGTCATCGCACTATGGCCTCCCAGGGGGTGGAGGACGCCAGGGGGTATATCACGGTCCCGTTCGCGCCCAGACTGGTGGGACCTCTCAGCATAACGCCAGTTTAGGGGAAGTGCACCCGTCTCTCTTCAGAGCCCCGTGACCACCGCGCGCTAGCAGGTGTCGCAACCAGGCCTCCCAAGGGCGAGCCACAAGGGGGTGTATCATGGGCTCGCTCGCGGGACCGCTCACGTTGAACGCCCGCTTTGGAACGTGCACGTGTTGTCCTTTTTAGCCCAATGATCACCGCAGGTATAGCCGACATCGTTGCTCGGGCCTTCCTCTCCTGAAGTACCCTGCTGCTGCTCCTCCTCCTCCTCCTCACCCTCCTCTTGTTTCTCCTCTTTCCCCTTCTTCCATCCTCAAGTTCCTCGTCTTGCTCCTTGCTCCTCCCCCTCCTCGGGTATGCTGGGGGCCCTCTTCGTGGAGAGGTCTAGTAAATCCCTCCCTGTCAATCCCCGTCCTTCTTCCTCCTCCTCCTCAAGCCCATTTCAGTGTCGAGCCGCCGACCTCCTGGAGGTGCCGTATGGCGCAGGAGGAAAAGCCTGCCCATCGACACACCTTTCGACTGAGTGGTGCCCTGCATTGATGCCTGCAAGAACATGGCCCCGCAGGGCCCCATACGATACAAGATATTTGGGCTCAATGCGTGCAGTTTGGTGCAACCGCGACGGATCTAGGACATAGCCACCTTTGCCCGTAATTTTCCCGTGCAGCATCGGCATGCGCTTGCGCGCGCTCCTGCCGGAGCCAGTTTGGAAGCAGGCGAAGGCGGAGGGCCACGGCTACGTGCTATATGCTGATCCGGAATTCGTAGATTGATCCGGAGCATATTGTGTTTTGTGATTTGGAAAGTGTTGTACATTGATCCGGAAGTTGTTGTGAAGTGATCCGGACATTGTCTTCATTGATCCAGGATACGGGCTGGAGTAGATTGATCAAAAATGGTGCCAGATATTGATCCAGAATAGGCCGTATACTGATCTGCCACCTCCCATA